ACAATCCGGGGAAAACGGGACGTTTGGTCACTCTAGGCAGCCCTATCTTAAAAAAATTCACTACTTTAAACCATTTATAGATAAACTCTCAAATGCACAAGGAACATAAAAAATAGTTGTAGAAACAGTTTTTGATGATAACAATTCGATAATTTTACTAGTTTTAAGATGGTTCAACACTTTTATTAGTTTTAAAATGGCTGGATAATAAAGATGAATTATTCGTTTCCAGAGATGCAACTGTACTAATTTAAAAAAGGTACTACTAATTGAAAATCATGTTGATAATTTTATTGGTTTTTAGGTGACAGTATTATGGTCTACTGTAGGTTGCCTACACTTATGTGGTGTACCAGAAAAAGCAATTACAATAATTGCCTAGAAACAAAACCGAATGCTCAGAAACATAGTTAATGTTCCTTGGTATGTTTGGAATAAAGACTTGCCCGGAAACTCCAAGTTGAATTATTTCCAGAAGAAATTAAAAAAGTTGTCAAGATACAAACACACCAATATTGAAATCCTCCAACTTTTAGACAATCAAGACCTAGAGCGTAGACTTAAAAGAATAAAACCTTTTGTACTGATGAAGTGATGGTGATAAAGAAGAGTCACAATATTGAAGCATGCAGAATATTGTTATGTGAGCCATTTCAATTTTCAGTCATGCTCTAACCCTCCAAGTCCCTCTCTGTCTTATTTGGCCATTGAGGCTCAACTTGTCCAATTATTATACATTAAGACCAAACCTATGGGAGGACTATGGCGGAGGTGCTTTCGATGACTATTCGAGAAAGGGCGGGATAATGATTATAGTCTATTGGTGAGAATATGTGAACTTTCTAGAACATTCGCCAATTTTTTAAATTTGTATATAAATATTGGTGGAAGACCCAGCAGAGTTAGTTATTAGATGGACAGTGAAGATAAATAGAGTGAACAGTTTAAAGACATTCGAAGTATATATAAATTAGAATAGTTGTGTTATAAAATAAATAAGTGTTTAAATAAATTATTAATAAATAAACTGTTGTTTTAAAGTAAACAAACATCACAATATGTTATTAAATATAATTGAATACAGGTGCAATCTAGTGTCTAGTATCTAGAGCAGCTGTACTCAACCTTTTTTTCTTTTGGGCCACATAAATCTGTTTATTATACTACACGGGCCATAATATTTTTGGGTTATAACTAGAGTTGCCACTTTTTTGAAATGTAAATAAGGGACAATTGGTGGCGATAGAGATATAGGGATCCGCTTTAAATATTTTTCGCCTACCATATGTGAAAATAACTCATATCAACCCTAAAAATATGACCGAAAGTAACGTATATCGTCCCATGGGCTGCTAAACTCATAACAGCCCGATTTTATAGTTTTTCACTAGATATCTAGATACCTTTGACTTGCGTACTTTGACGTTTCACATAAATTTTGATTAAACGTCAGTGTAAGCAGTCTATTAGTGAATATGAATAGTCATTCAGACAGTGACGAAGAATTTACAAATATTCCACCAAACTTGCAAGAGGAAGCCAACAATGTTTCTCTAAATTTACTACCTACTAAGTCAAGAGAACGGTACGAACTTATCTTTGTTTTTTTTTTTTGGTAAGCGAAAAACAATTGTGTGTCACACATGCAGAAAACGCTTTAGCAGACCTTAGCTATCAGCTGTCCTCGCTTCTCTTCGCTCGCTCATGCAGCTAATAGCCGTGGGCTGCTAAAGCTCATTTTCTGCCCTTGTGACACAATATACTATTTCTGCACAAAAAAAGCTTGGAGGCCGCAAAAAAGCTTGGAGGGCCGCACAAAACAGCTTGGAGGGTCGCATGTGTCCCGCAGGCCGCAGGTTTAGTGTGGCTGGTCTAGAGTGTTAAAATAAATATGAAACTTTTTAAATTCAAAATTGTCTATTGACATTACTACTGTTGATGTTAAACCACGCTCTCATTCCATTGAGATTGTAACCACCCCACCTGGCTTAAAAAAATGTTATTGCATCATGAAATATTATCTTTTAGCGTGAGGTAGTGCCTACGTGACCTTTCGCCTGCTTTATCACCGTAACGTCAGAGTTTTTTTTTATGAGATTCTGTTTCTATGCAAGCGCATGCTTGTACATAAGCGTCTTCAGATTTACCGTTAAAAATATGTACGTTCTTAACATCCAAATTTAAAATTGCTGGTAAATTAGGTTATTATAAAAATGCTGACTAATTTTGTAATATTAGGTACATTCTGGTAAATTAAAAAAAAAAACTTCAGAGGAGATAACCCTCTTTTCCAATATAGAAAAAATCATGTTTCTTTCTTTACTGATTGATTCGCATCTTATCCAAAAGTTTTAAATTTCAAGAATCCCTCGCGTCTTTTGTATCCATGAATATACGAGTAGATATATTCGTAGAACAAACGGCTGGCCAAAGCTGATCTATACGATCCTCGAAATAGCTCAAACTTCGAATACATCTTACGAGAACCTTTATCGGATATGGTTGATGTTTATTGGCAAAGTTTTCGAATTCCCCATTTTTTTATTGTACTTTTCTCGATTTATAGCGCACACGTTTATTTCGGTAAAACCCGAAGAAAAAAATAACGTATACATTTGTGCTTGTTTAAATCTATAAGAGAAATTTTCGTTATTTCCTCTAATAATTTTCTTTATAAATCCTTCATTTACAAATAATGTAGAAATAGATAGAAATAAAATAAAAAAGCGAACAGTATTTTTTCTAATTTTGACATATAATAATAATAATAATATGATACTCTCTCTAATTCACCCACTTACAGCAAAGGAGACAAATGCATTTACGCTTTACACATTTGGGAAGCAAGGAGACACGCGACACGACAACCGTAGACGACAATTTGAGGGAACGATCAGTGTTGCCCGACCTATTGTTTCAGGCATGAAATCTACTGTTTTCGCCAGCTTAACAAATTTCGTTTCTAATTTATTAAGTTTGCCTCATTCTTCAGCAAATGGTCAAAGAATATTTTCTCTAGTAAATTTCCTGAAGTAAGAGCAGCGTAATAAACATCCACTACTGTAGGTTTGCTCCCTAAAAAAAACCTTAAGATAATCATTATGTTTTTATTTAAAATGCAACAAATAATTAACAGGGCATCATAAAATGAACATGCATGCCAAACACAACGTATTTGAATTATCTGATTCAGACTGATCTAAAAGAAATACCTATTATTTTTCATTGGTTTCTTTTTTTGCTTCCTTACGTTAAGTATATATTAAACATATTATTTGTTTTTATTCTTTGTTTACTTTCTAATTTGGGTAGAAAAATGTTTATTTTTCGTTTCTTATATACTTGTTTTTTTTTTATTTACTACACTGCAAGTTATAATTATTTTCCCCTGTATTAAAATCTACTGTTCAGATCTACGGTTTTTTTTACCCATACTGTTTCAGCAAATATTCATCTGGCAACACTGCCTAGATCGAAAGAATGCAACTACCATTTCCATAAAATAACGACTTATCACCTCGAAATAGCAAACGATACCCCGAGACCGACCTACCTGTCGTCGAGTTCTGTCTCTCGGACGTGTCGCGCTTTGCGAAATGTGTTTCATATAATTGCATGTGTTCAGACGCGAAGAGACCGTTCTTGGTCGCCTTTGCCGTCGCGTCTGTTGTCGTTTGTCGCGCCTTCCGAAATGGTACCTTTACGCAGTTCCTTATTAGATTTGGCTTGTATGGTCTGCGTCTTTATTTCCGAATCTGCATAAATATACAATACACGTACATGCAGGGGCGGCTCGTGACCAAAATTTTGGGGGTTCACAGTAGCAGAATATATATCCCGGTACAGATATCGGTAAAAACTGTCAGTGTTTTAGGAAGGTATATTATAAACTTTCTAAAACACTGAAAGTTTTTTCATACATCTGCACTGATACCTATATTCTGTCACTGTGAACCACCCCACGAGCCACCACTGCGTACATGTCAACTATATAAAAAACATAATAAAAGAACAAAAAGAAACATCAATTGGTCAGCAAGTACTTACGCAGTTTTCTTTTAGATATTGCTGCGTTTGAAGAACATTTAATATCTTCAGGCAAATTATTAAAAGCCTGTACATAACCTGTTTCCGTTACATAATCATATACTTTACTTATAAAATTATTAATTTTTTAAAACAAGTTTCAGTGTTTTCATGGGTAAAATATATCAGTGTATCATTTGCAAATAAGTGTATTGAGCATCTTTCGACTACACCAGCAATGTCATTAATATAAATTGAAAACAGTAGCGGATCCAGAGCACTACCCTGTGACACCCCCATATTATTCTCCATAGTATCCGAAACACAATTACTTACCTTGACCTTCTGTTTTCTATTTTCCATATATTGATCCAACTAGTCTTCTAGTTTTATAACAAAACCATGGGTGTTACAAGTTTTGTAAGCCAACCAATAAATACCTACTAAAATACTTTAAATTTTATGATAATGCAACTAAAACGTTTCGGTTACTTCATCTATATCTCGGTTAGTGTTAATTACTTAGAGTTTTATAAGAACGTTTCATAGCATTCTTGGAAACTTCATTATAAAACTTTTACTAGTAGTTTTAGAGTTTACTCCGTTATAAATGTTGAAAAACCCAATAAATAGCTCCTAGGATGTAAATATTGATTTGTATTATGGTTTCAAATGAATCAAATAAAAATAGAATATCATCGTCCAATAGTGTCAATTATTAGTGCAGTTACCTTATCAAAATAGAAGCTAATTTTTAAACCTGAAAATACAGCATTCTTCTTATCCTCGAAGCAGCTACCCCGACAAGTAGCGCCATCTCCACCCGAACCGATCCCCTCGATATATCCTGCGCGCGATCCTCGCAGGACCTACGCCGTTCCGCTGAAAACCCTCTCACAAAGGATTCTCGCCCCGTGTGTAGTCCTGATTCAGTTACGATCAGCTTGCCATTGAGTTAACAGGCACGAGTCACGATGATCCTTCTATTGCGCGCGGTTGCGTCGTTTTTCGTCCTTATCCATTTTTCAGCAGGACGAGCGGTAAGTACAAAAAGTTTTTTTTTTGACGGGATTGTTGATAAGAAAAGGATTTCGGCGTTGAAAATATATGACATTGAATTTTTTCGGGTTGCCAGTTAAGGGAAAAAAAGGACGAAAAAGGGATGGGAAATTAGACATAATTTATTGATGAGGGTAAATATTGGGGGTGGCACGGTATCGCGAAAGCGAAGGGTTAGAATTAGGTAACGTAGGTGTAACACGGTGAAAAAGGGGTAGGTTTAAATGTTGGAAATTTACGGGAATTAATTTAATCGAAAAGGGTTTTTCAATGATTACACAATGGAAATTTTAAATTCGTTAAAAATATTTTAACAAAAATAACATATAAAGAAAACTTTGAGAATAGCAAAAAAACGAGATATCAACGAAAAACATATATAAAAAAAAATTTGAAAATAGCAACTTAATGTTTTTTTGATGTAAAAAAAAGAATCTTGTAACATATTTCATATTGCTCATCTTCAAATGGGTTCCAAAATCTAAAAGAGCGACCTTATTTACATAAAAATTGTATTCTTCTTTTACTTTGATATTTCAATCCCTTTTGAAGGCATAACGATTTAATAATTTATTGTTTTATTTTATTACAAAAAAAATTAATGGTAATTTTTCACATACGAGCCCAAATAACTAGATTATACTAGTATGTTGAGACTTTTTTTAATTGAGACTGTTCTAACCCTCCTGGAACCAGTCCTGTCTAAGTTTGTAAAAGACTAAAAGCAGACTAAGGGTGCTTAGTATGTATGGAGCGTTTTGGGTGGCCTTTTTTGGAATGATATGTACCTACTGCGGGTATGGGTAAATACATTCGTATTTAGCTCCTAGGCGTTTCGTCCTAATAATCCTAATAATGGGAATGATTAGTATTCGCTTTCTAGGAATCCAAATAGATCAACATCTTGATTGGAAAGATCATTGTAGAGGACTGGACAAAAAAATTAATTCGATAAAGTTTCATTTCATGACTTTACAGTCAATACTTGATGTTCGTCAATTGGTTATGGTGTATTTTGAAGTAGACTCTTGTCTAAGATACGGCCATGAGAAGCATTGTTAAAATCTCACAGTCTCTTGTATTTTATATATTTAATGGTTTTAAAAAATTTAAAAGAATAATAATATACAGTCCATTTATTAACCTAACAAGGATACACTGTATATTTTGACATTTTTCGTTTTGATTTTTAATTTTCTTTAACCTGATATAACATATTACATACTATTTTCAGTAGTTAAAGCTACAGAACAAATAAAATGTTTATCGTTGATAGACACTTAAAAAAACATTTTATTAAGAGTATACTAATCTGTGACAATTTTATTTACCAAAAATTAAATCAGTAACTTGAAAACAAACTAAAATTCGAGAGACGCTAATATGGTGGTTCCCACCTTATCGAGACTGAGGCCCACAAGGGTAAACTCGTAGGGTAATAAAAACGAGAAATGATTTAACTTGGAAAGAAAGACCGAAAGCCGATAGCAGTATTAGGTCGTTGAATTTTTTGGTTTGTGAAGCATTGGCATTAATTAGGTTAAACCATTGATGATTTTCACAAGCCTTGATTTTTAAAACCATTCTATATCGCCTTTTGATTAGGGTTTACAAACTTGGAGCAATTTATCCAATAATAATTGGCCCCTTTACCTCTTAAGCCTGCTCATGTAAATTATTTGGGCTCCAATAGTATGATGAAAACCAAAACAAAATGACATTTCCGACAATTTTGGAAAGCAAATCGAAACGGACCAATGAAAATGCTGGATGCTATTTTTCCCCCTGTACCAAAACAAAGTTCATTTGGGCGATGGCTCTAGTAATATATGCTGAAAGATCATCTCATATAAACTGCGGCGACTATTTGGCAAGATTACATCGTAAACTTAATGCCAAAATTATAATAATTCATGTGATAAGAGCTTCAATACTTTCACGGTTTCAAGCTGCTAATGAAAGAAAATGCCATAGTTATTTAAGAAATGTACGTGCGTATTTTTGTCCTAATTCAAAACTCAGGGTTAGTACTAGGATGTCACGAAGCTTTGGCCGAAGTGTATTCATCAACAATATGGTCACTTTCAGATGGCTAAAGGTCACGCCACATCTTGCTGATTCACTGGCCAAGAAAACAACCAATCAAATACTTTTTTAACCTGGCCCTTCTATAGGCCTGACAAAATCAGTAGTGACAGAACTAATTAAAGAATATTCCCTTGTGAAACTCAAGGAAAGATGGAATTAAATAAACTGCAGAGTTGCCAGGGAGTTTTTAAGTTATTCTGACAACATTACAGCAAACAAATACTTAACTATGACTAGGCAGATTCTGCGCTTGGCCACATGCATTCTGACTGGTCATTGTCAAGTTTCCTAAGCATCTTCATATCATGCGCACCCTGCAGGGGGTGCGCACAAGAAGATCAGACCATCGAGCATATCCTTTACGATTGCCCGACGCTCTCATTTATCAGAAGATTTGTGTTCGGCGAGTATCGGCTAGCACCGGCCAATATAAAGATGAGTACCTCTTGGCGACGTCGTCAACTACATTAAATCTTTAGGCTGGTTCACGAGCTAGGAGTGTCTATCACCTTAGGAGGATGCACACTGGGCATAGTGTGGCCTAAGTGCCGTGGGATAACCCACCCTCCACACGTTACAGATCTAATGTTTATATGATCGAAGATTGGTTCTAGGAATTTCATTATTATTTTTAAATTACTGATTCCCTTTTTTTTGTAAATAAAATTATCACGAAATAATTTATTTCTTTTTTCGCTTCCAATTCTAATTCTGTTTGATTCGATATAATATATTTCTACTTTGTTCACCTAAAAATCTCAGATAAATAAGTAAAAATGTTCATTTCATTGCGATGTAAAGACAATTTTGAACAAGAATTTATTGCTGCGCCTGAATTATATTTTCATCGATACCTAGAAAGAAGGCAACCAGCCAAAATAATACTAAAAAAAGCTTGATTCTAATTTAATGAAGTATGGATATTTTGTGAAACCATGGCGTAATGAAGAGAGCTATAAATATGTTGGGTTATTTAGTGATGAAACTCGCATAACCAGTGCAGGGTCGCTGTTTGATGCCTTGGTGTTGTAATTTCGCAGGGCGTCCAGCTTGAATTCTTCCTCCCCAAATACCTCTAGCTTTCCAGTTTGAGATGTTGGTTGTACTATAATTTTTCTTGATCTTCTACCGCTTGTTTTGTGACACACTTTTTGTTTATAAACAAACGAATACCGAGCCGCCGTGTGTTATAAACATAACCAAACATAACCACTAAAGGAACACTTGCCGTACTAAAGTAGCAATTACAGAATATTAAGCCGGGTATAGACCGAAAAAACCTACTCCAATACAGCACATTCCAGGGCTATATTCAAGTAGGTTTTATGAACAAATAACGCATACAAACCCTAGTCTAGTTGGTCACTTCCTGGGGGATGTATTGAAGTAGCTTTTCTATTTACGCTTCCCGGTGAACTGTATATTTAAAATGGAACGCCAATCTATTAACAAAAGTAAGCCAGATTGAATTCGCGCATTACGTCACAAGTGAGATTGTTTACAAAGTGCCTTTGCAGGCCTATTTTGCCCATTTTATGTATTTGTTTTTAAATCATGTTAAATTACTATTTTTGAAACTCAATAAGGAGAAAATCCAATTAACTCTTCCGTTGTGTATATATATATATATATATATATATATATATATATATATATATATATATATATATATATATATATATATAAGATAAATTAACTGAAGTTTTATTAGTAAAGTATTAATACTAAAATTTTAATGTAATTTACAGAAAATAGCTAGGTATGTATTTGTTTTTAAATAATTTGATAATTTATGAAAAAAGGGAGTAAAAGTGGAATGACCAGTGGCCAGTAGGTCAGTCAATACAAAGTATCATATATTTCTATTATAACATAACTAAAATACCTACATCTTTTAATCATAAGGACATAAGTTAAAAACCATTTTAATATATGCAATAGAATGAAGTAATAATAACTTAAAGAGACGAGGTCTTAAAGTAATAGCTGGTACAGCATGTTTTTTAAACGTTTCCTCATTGCTGCTAGAATGAAATCACTTACTATGAAATGTGCTCTAAAAACGACATTTATAGCAGTCAGTGTTCAGTCTTAGGATCTCTTCCTAAAGCCCTCATCCAAGCTGCATACATATTAAAAAATAATTAAAAAAAAAACATATTATATACCTATATAGTTTTCGGTTCTGGGTGCCCTAAAAGAGGACACTTAGCCGACAATTTGGCTCAGATAGCTAAAACCCAAAAGTCACACCCCGTTCCACAGTTCACTGTATTTTCCTCACACCTCTAGTATAAATGATTTGACATAACGAAACTAACAATAATTATAATTAATGTAGAGTAATAAGTGATTTGTGAATTCTAAATAAAACAATTATTATATAAAAGTGTAAAAGGAAATATAATTTATTTCCCTATTTTCTTCTGTAATATCTTCAATTATTATGTTTAATTTCTATAAATAAACCTACTGGTTAGGTGAAACATTGTGATATAAGATTTTATTTATGTGTCCTATGCGTACACTTTAATATACAAAACACCTGGAACATTCTTTAAATAATTGTGGTCGTAGAAATAATTGTGTACATAACTCGTTTGAAAGTGTATTTTATGCACTTGCCAAATATATTATCCATACAGATTAATCAGACTATTTTTTTACTTAACTTCAGTACATCTCTTACTACTAAAACTATTTTTATCAATGGAAAAAAAGGGCCGTGTTCTCGTATGTTTTGACGCATTTTCGGCCTCAGCCCATCGGATCCCCCCTCTAAATATATATAAATTTTGCTTAGAATTGCTAATCCTACAATTCTCTATTCGTGCTTTCTGACTGGGAAAATAAATACCGAAAATCGTCACTGTCTCCTGGACTATACAATAGA